CTCCTGTGGAAACACACCACTATCAAGAAACCACATTCTGTACGAATGCAGAGAATTCGACCAACAAAAACAAGTTTATGGCATCAGGTCAAATACGGCCCTAACATCCAAGGACCATATAAGGGATACCTTGAAATTCGTGAGCGACTCAAATCTATGGCACAAAATTTAACAATACAAATGTGAGAAGCAGCACCGTTAATCTTTAAGAAGAAGAAATCTGTATACATATGTATTAATTACGAAAAGTGAAACCGAATTGGAAACCAACATTTACAATAACTCTCCCATCATTTTTCGAAAAAGCATTTTCATTGAGAGACACTCTGAAAGTATCTGCATAAATTTTTCATTTCCATTTCGATGCCAAAAATGGGCACTTTTTAACATCCTCCATTAATAACTCCAACGCGTCGAGCAACTATTCAGGGCGTGACAATCGAAATTTCTAACATTCTTACTAAAAACTCCTATATTTCTTCCAGCTATTAGGGTCGTTCAATAAGTCCTTAGAAAATCCAAGTGCTGGCGCTTGTAGCATCGAAAATGGTTTGTTTTTAGTAAGCATCATGACTCACTAGACAGCTGTCAAAGTCTCAATTATATCCACCACATGGTTTCATTTTTATTGTCGATCGAAGCAAGAAACTTCCTCTTCCATCAAAACAATGCACGGGTGCACTAAAGTTCGAATTATTACAACCACCGTATTCACCGGATTTGGCCTCCACTGACTCTTTTTATTTCCAAACTTAAAAAAATGGCTCGGCGATCAACGGTTCACGTCGAACGAGGAGGTCACCGCTCAAACAGATACCTATTTTGAGGACCTTCTAAAATCTTACTTTTTAAATGGCTTAAAAAAGTTGGAGAAACGCTTGGAAAAGTGTATAGAGTTAAAAGGAGATTATGATGAAAAATAAAAAAAGATCTACCTAAAATAGTTTCTTTTTCTATCTCTTTCTAGCGACTTATTGAATGACTCTCGTAGCATTCTTGCTTAAGGTTTTCTTCTCCGAGTCTCGGTTCGTTCGCGAACCGTCGAGAAGACACGGAACTCTGCAGAAACTCTTAGAAACGACACGTTTTCCCAAGCGATCGGTTGCCAAATTACGATTTACGCGTGTTTGCATACCGGCAGCTCTTGAACAGATGGTAGAAAAGCCGTAATGCAATTTTAGCTTGCCAAGGAACGGACGGCTGTCACGCGTGGGCCTCTCTTCCTGTTTCCCGATGACGAAAGTCACTTCTCGCCGTGACGACATTCTTCGAGTATACTCCCGGGACACGAGCAAGGGACTCGTGACGTAACTTTTTTTTCGTCGTTCCTGTTTTGCGGCTAAGCTAATTTATTGGCACTAATCGATCGTAGCTCGCGCCGGCTGTCCCGCGGATTCCTTGGGATCCACGATGTCGCCTCTCGACCAGGAAGCCGTAACAAGCTTTTATTGTTGAATTATCGCGCGCGGCTGATACCGCGGGGTCGCGAGCCACGCACCACCGGGAAAATTCTTTCTCGATCTTGATAACTGTTTCTGCTTCCACGAAGTCGATGGAATTGCATACCTAGCCGATCGGATGCGTTCATCGAGATTAAGGATCGCCGACTACATTGAGGAACGATCGACCGGTCGAAGAATACTTCGAATACTCCTCGATTGCGACGTTCATTTACATCCATTCGATCCACCAAAGATTATTATTATTATCATCGAGTAGTTTCGTACGTTCCTGAGCATTCGTGTTACCGTTTTGCATTATTTATTTCTTTATTTATTTACGGATGAAGAAATTATACTTTGATACAAATGGAATAGAAAGGTGATATATTAGGTGAGAATACAGCTATCTTATCCTAAGTGTCAAACAATTGGCACAAATTCGTAAAAAATTTGAGCTTATATTTAAATACTTTTAGAATAAAAAAAAAAAATAGAGAAAGGAATCAAGAATATTTTCAATTTAAAAAAATTATGGAAAATCAAGCATTTTGTAAAAGATCTATAATTTTTCACTGTGAATACGAGAAAATTTATGCCCCTTAAATAGAAGATACTCTAAAGCTTTTAATTCTTTCTGTTGGATTATTAATAAATAATCATTAATAAAACATAATCTAACAGTGAGAAACACTGCCCATTGTCTGCATACGAAGACCGTATTGGCACCATCGGGCCTAGGGGCCTGGGTCTGTTTTGTCGTCGAGGGCCAGGGAAATAAACATGATGCAGGCAATGGTTTCTTTCCTTTTAAGTGGACGCCAGATTTTCTTTTAGGGGATCTGAGCGTCGCTTCACTTCTTGTTCAGTTTTAACAGAGTAAAGACGTCCTTCCAAACCACAGAATAAAGTTTCACTTTTACTTACAAAGTGTACTGCTTTTTCACCCAATTCCAATACTTTCTTTTTTGTTTTTCTCCAGAAATAAACAACTCGAAATCCAAAATTAAAAATTCAATATTCGGTCTATGCTTGTTACGAAAAAACTCTAAGACGTACACAGGCTGCTCCCAGCTTAAAATGCTCCAAAAAATGACGCGTGTAGAATCTCAAAATAAAAAATAACTTTTCTCTGAAAATATGCTCGCAAACTTCTAATGTCACATCGAAACATCTCCTTTATTTTGAAGATATTGATAAGTTCTTATTTGCACTGTAAACAAATAATTGTCGGATCATCGATTGTTTTCGTAAAACATACTAGTTATTATTATTTATTTATTTATTTAAGGGTAAAGGAATTACCTTTAACAAAATTATTTAGCAGATTCCTTCTAAAGACGGATAAAGAGCTAAAAAAATTAACCATTTCACAGTATTTATTTATATCAATAATTAGACGATTGACGCAGTTGTACTCACCGTAAAGTGTTCGATGAGCTTTCCACTTAAGGAAAGTACGCTTTCTTATTGATGGAGAAAGTACATTCAATTTAAAAAGTTGCAAAATCTCGGGATAAATTATAATACCGTTTATAAGTTTGAAGGCAAGTAATAAGTCAGACATCAGTTGTTTGCATTCAAAAGGCAAAATTATGAACTAGAAAATATTATATTAACTAGAGAAACATATAAATACTTAATTGTGTTGGTGTTCTTAAGGTATATATAAGTTCTACCTAGAAAGCCCAAAGTCTTAAGTGCGACACTAGTGATATCGATAATGTATTTCTCAAACGATTATCTGAATAAATGACTCAAAAATCTAGGATATTAGTAACAGAATGTAATATGGTGTGGTTAATTTCGTATTGAAACTTTGGGACATAACTTTTATGAGAGAATGGCGTGAAATATTTTTAAATCGTCAGCAAATAGTAAAAATATGGAATACCGAAAACATTGATTAATATCATTAATGAATAATGTGAACTATAGTGATATTGGATAAGGCATTATTAAATCTGACAATTTCTGATCTACCAGAGATAAATCCATGCAGCCACGATAACAGATTATCGAGTGATTTATTTACAGAGTGATTTACCGAGTCAAATGCTTTCCGAAAGTTAATACAGATTACATCTAATTGCTCGCCTTTTTCAATGGCTTTAACCAGGCAATGAGGATATAACATCAAGTTGCTGATAATTATGCTATTCCGGAATGATAATATTTTTATAAATGAAGGAGAGTTGAAAGATCTTCTTTAAAGATCTCTTTAAAGATCTTCAGAATTACATTTTGAATACTTATTAGTCTATAATTATTGATATTGGAATTATTCCTTAATTTTGGTACAGGACAAATAGTACAAATTTTCCAAATATGTAGAAAGAGGCTGGTGTCAAGGGACTTATTAAAAATAAATCAAAGTATTCTTGACATTATATAAACGCATGATTTACTCGCAAGAGAGTGAATACCACCCATACCTGGTTCAGTACAAATATATAGTTTATTTATGTATTTAAAGATTTCGTTAATGTCAATATTGAAATTTGTAATAGTGAGATCAATATCATAATACACATCATTATAATCAAATTAAATTAACAGAAGCGATTACGTTACAATACTTTCCACTACAAACAAAATAATATTTTTATAAATGTGTTTATTACAATATTTCTTGGTGTAAGGTATTAATGTGGTTTTCACCGATTTATCGAACAGTCCTCGTAGTTATCGTTTGGCTTGCTAGAGACTAAACGGGAAACTTTATTGCATTTTTTCTCTCCCCTTCGTCATCGTGCCATTACTTTAATATCGTTTATAAATCTTCATCGTTCAATCTGCGGGACAAACGATTCCGCGAAAACGACGAATGATTCTGCAGAAGCACGTCCGCGATTCAGATCAATGGAGACTCTAAGCCTCAAAGTGGTCCAGGTCGTGCACCGTTTTCCTATAACTGTCCACCAAAACATGTAGATCATCGCGATCTTGTCATTCAGTGTCGCGAGGTGCCGTTCGTTCGGTAGTTTTTACCCGGAAATTGCATTCGTTCCGATCGCCAGATGCAACGCAACGTTATAATGTTAATCTAGCCTCATTGTAACGCGATTGGAAAGATTCGAAGGAAATTTCTTCGAACGATTTCCTTTCGTTCTGGATTTCTTATAACGATCCCGAGTCATGACTATTCGATTACATTCAACGGTATTTGGCACGAGTGTTGCTTAGAAAACCTCTTGTTTGATTTCATCTATTATTATTTACTTTTGCAATTGATTGTACAATAGCAGGCATACGATTTGTCTCGACGTTCTCAATTTATAAAATGATATTAATCCAGATTAATAAAATATAATAAAATATACAAATTATATGTCCGTTCGTGAAATAATTTACATTTACGTTTCGTATTGCGTAAATTCATTCGTGTAATTAGAAACCATTAACGGATTTTTCTACCGATATCCAGACAGAAGCAAATTTGCGAATGAAATTTAACATTTTTATTCGTTGTATATAAAAATTTCTCTATTCGGGAATTTAGAAATTTCGTACCTTCTGTTGTATACAAATTTAATCCATGTCGTTTATTTGTTGCTTCAGCATGGTCGAGATCAGAGGTGAAATTTCCGAGTCAGCGCCAGTGCCCATTTTAGGGGTTGGCGTCAGGCAAGGCGGTACTCTGGTCACCGGAGAGTTGAATGTCAGTCCAGGCACGCCTCTGCAGATGGAAATCTTCTTGGACAACCACTCCGCACCTGTTTATGGTCTGCTGGTCAGCTACATGTTGGTTACTGACACAAAATCGCAAGAAGAAACTATCATCATTAACGGGTAACAGACACTTTTAGAATTACTTTTCAAATTTGTAAACGACAATCACTATAAACCATTGTCCGGTTATACCTGAAACAGAATAGTCAAAAATTAAGAGCTCTGTATGCTTAAAAAAATTAAAAACATTTGCATATTCATATTATCAAAAACAAAGGACTCAATTGTTATGGAATAGTCAATAATTACAGACTTTTATTCAACTTCGTTCGCTATAACTACATCGATTTGGTACAAACTGTAAATAACTTGTACCTAAATTGTTAGCACCTTTAGTGGAGTATCTTTGATTATATACCAAACTAAAAAAACGTCCATCGCATCAATATTCTCATAAAAAAATATTTACTACAATACTATAGGGTGTAAACAAAATTATTCGAATTTAATACAGAATAGGCTAGAACTGATGAAATCTACAGAAAAATGGGAAAGTGTACCTAATATGGCCTACTCAAGAAATATTAATTAATTCGTGTATACATATATGAGTTGGTAAAGTTATTTTTATTGGAAAAAAACTATGCAATGAAAAGCTTGCAAGCTTATTGGACGATCTAATAATATAATAATATAATATACATATAACACAGTCTTCGATTTAAAAACCGTGTAAATTCATCCACTGTCCACGTAATTATTCTGCATAATCTGTTTGTCTTCAGCTGCTCCGTGGATCCCTATCTCTTCGAGAACTTTAACACCGTGGACGGTGACTTCCTGACAGCGAAATTCCGGGCATTCAAGTTCCCGGAAAGCACATACGTTCAGTTTCGTGGCACCGTAAACGTCTGTTTGGACAAGTGCCAAGGGGTACGTTGATTCTCCAAGTGTCACGTACATGCAAACTGCTTGAGCTTCGTTTAAATCAGTTCTGTTCATGAAAGTCTCTTAAGCGTTTTGTTTCCTTCTACGAGACGTATTATGTTTCTATATTGTAGCGTACGAACGTATTGGAAATCGGAATTTTTGTTAAAGTAACCACTATGTTGCGGATGTTCTGAAACAAACGTAGTTTCTTGCAGTTTTCTTATTGCAGGGGAAAAGAAAGAATAGGCCTGACAAGAATTATGAGTATTTTAGTTGATGATATTACTTTTTCATAGGCATTATTTATAAACAATTCAAATTTGTAGTACAATTTATTTACATTTAAATATGAGCTTTGCAGGAAAGTGTGTTAGATGAGAAACAACGTTTGCTTCGTAAGAAGATAGCAACACCTCTAATGGAACAGTCTCCTAACTATAAAAATTATCAAATTAAATATATATTTAAGTTTATTGCCTAAATGGAAACTTAATACTTGCAAAATTTCATTATCTCTGCGTACGAAGTAAGGATAGATACTTACGTAATGTTTTTTATTCGAATTATTAATACGTTTGAGTTTTGCAGTTTTATTTTAATTTGCATAACAAATTTTTATATAATTTCATCCAATGATTAACACTAAAACTACCGACAATTATGGTGTATTTATTTGTACTAAAGAAATTAAAACAATAGATACGTGAAGAAATGTATAATATAATGGAAATAAGTATTTATAGGAGATTCTAAAGGACAAAATAAGACGAAAATCAAGAATAGCAATTTGTTGATTGAGGTTTCGCCAAATATTATTAACGTTTAAAGTTCCGAAACCCACTACTACAGGCGGAACTTTAAACGTTAATAACTTTTTAACGAAGCCTCAATCAATAAATTGATATTCTCGATTTTCGTCTTATTTTGGACTCTACAAGCTCCCATTAAAATTTTTCCCAGAGGTAGCCGAACTATATTCTATTCAATTTTTTACAAGTTTTATTAGAAATTACGAATGGATAATTTTGTCTGCTTTGATAGTTCTAGTGTTAATGCGCAATTTGACAATAACAACTTATGGAATAAATCGAAGAATATATGAACAAAGTAACGAAACAGACAGCTGATATTCCCTGAGTCTGTGAATTTTGACTGCTGCAGATCGAATGCAGCAACGGCCAAGTAGGCTTTGGTAGAAAGAAGAGAGCCATAGAAGTCTCAAGTACCGACAAGAACAAGATCTTCGAGGTGACCATGTCCACGTTCATCAAGGTCGATTTCGAAGAGGACGCCGTGGTCGACAAAGGTAACGCCCATTGCGATTACTTTGTTCCAGTTTCTACATCGTTTGACCTCTGTTTCGCGCAGCTCTATCAGAACTGTACATCAGAAAGGGGAAGAACAGGACGAAAGCCAGGGCGGTGATCGCGGAAGAGGTGAGGGAGCAGACATCGCCGACGACGATCAGGACAGAGGAAAGGGCTTTCATAGCACAAGAAGTCAACGAACAGTTCAAGTACAAGGTCACGGAGACGGAGATAAATGGATCCTCGTGTAGAACGATGCCCTTCGCCATCGTCCTTATCCTTCTCTGCGTCTGCAAGCTCTTGTAGGATCCGGAAGGGACGAACGATCGCCAATTGTAAATAGAAAGCAGCTCGAGAGCCGGCGGAATTCGGGTTACCACTGAGAAACAAAAAGGACCGAATGCCTCGCCAGGCGTTAGTATAATTATTTTCCTTTACGCGTAGGGAGAAACGGTGTGATATCGAATCGAAACGGATGTCGATCTACTCCGAAATACGCACACGGGTTACTTTTGAATTCGGGTCGACGTACGTAAATGTAACCGTGCTCAAAAGCATTTCTCCGCTCTGCGACCGCCGGAATTTTCGTTCCTGTCCCTTCGCGAGTAATCCAGATCCTTCCTTTTCCGCGCGTTATTAGTTGCTCGCGATCAATTGCTTGATAATACAGTCGCTACACCGCCCGGAAGAAAATTGGCCTTTGCGAGCGGAGAATTCCGAGGACCTAGTCGCGCGACGAGCTATAACATCGCGCTACGACTTAAGCAAATATAGACGATCACGAGGGTAATTAATTGCTGCTTTAATCTTAATTATAACGAACCGACGCGCAAGTGTAAAATAGCTATTAATAACGCGAGTGCGAACGCGACGAGCTCGTCCTTGTCTGTCGGGAAGGAGAAGAGACCGACAATAAAAATGCGCGTAGAAACATAAAAAAAAATTTATATATATATACTTGGAATGTTTAACACTCATGTATACATGATGATTCCGTATAAAAATATATCTATATACCTTTGGCTTAAAGTAATATCAGATACAAAGTAACGAACACGAGATTCCGATCATGCATTCATACCCGCAGGTCATCGATTGCATCTTGATTGACTTACATTCGGAAAATTCCGAATTTACTCTCCTGAATGGGCGCGTTAAATGCCGCCGATAAACTGAGTCCAAGCACCAGTCTGGTGTCAACGGGATCGATTATGCCATCGTCCCAGAGTCTGAAAGGAGTCAATTTTATAAAACAACGTTCCGATAAAACTTCCTGCACTGAGATTAAACTTACCTGGCACTGCCGTAGTACGGACTGCTCTCTTTTTCGAACTTTTCTAAGATAGGTCTCTTGAGATTCTCCTCCTCCTGCGCAGTCCACTGTTAAAATCATCCAAGGAACAGTGTTAAATCATCTACATATAGGGCATTTTAGACTTGAAATGCAAACTTATGGAGTACAAGTATAGAAAGTTCTCATGAAGAAGATTCAAATACCGTTTTTTTTAACCTGACAACCAGGTGGCAATACGAAATTAATTGTATTAGTATAGATCAAAATTAGTAAGAGCAATTCTACGAGGAATTGCGAATCGTATTGAGTCAAACATTTTAGTCAACCTTTGTTAGGCCTGTAAAGAAGTAAAAATTATTCGATACTGTCCTCATTCCCCGTAATAAGGAACTGTGTCTATATTTCGTTCAACGAGAAGAGAATTTCTTTATTCGTTCAGTGTGAATATACATTCACATCGCTTCATTTTGGAGAAAATCGAATTTGAAGTTTACTCAACTACGCAATTTATTTATTGTATGTTCTATTGCAAATATTGATAATGATAGGGTACTGTAGGAAATACAGTGGTTCTTCGCTATTGATTGCTACTTTTCCCCTCGATATTGTTCACGAAGTCATCTCCGCCAATTTTTAGAACTGTTTCGATAAGACGAGCGACCATGTTATCTATAATTCGCGACTAGTAATGACGCAACTACGAACGAATCATCGAAAGAACAAAAATAACATTTTTATATTTTCCAATTTACAACTATGAAATTAGTTTAATCGCATTGCTGAGCTTTTTCCAGTAAAAATAATACCAAACAAAGCCATATTTGCTTCCACGGGTAAAAATTAGGAAAAGAATGCAAAGTAAATTATATACATTTTATGATAGTAATATGTATTAATAAGGTGAGAAATACCAATAATAGTAAGAAGAAAGTAGTACAATAATGCAAATATAAAAAAATGACTATACATGGTGTTCGGCCACTCCTGGAAAATATTTTAATGGGAGATTCTAGAGGCCAAAATAAGACGACAATCAAGAATACTAATTTGTTGATTGAGGCTTCGTTAAAAAGTTATAAAAACATTTCCGGCCACACAGTATATTTTCGGTAAAGAATTTTATTCTCGAAAGTACGTAGGATTTCTCGAGCATGTGTATTCACCAAAAATGATTGCAATTGACCACTGTAACCGACAATAATTTTTCCAGAATGATTTGAAACTTTTTAATTTCGCCGAAAAATTTCAGCATTTACTCAAATTTTTTTCTCGGAAGTGCATAGGATTTCGGGGGTATATCTATTGACAAAAAATGATTGTAATTGATCCCCACAACCGAAAATAATTTTTCCAAAATGATTTGAAATTTTTTAATTAAATTTTTTAATAACTTTTTAACGAAGCCTCAATCAAGAAATTGATATTCTTGATTTTCGTCTTTTTTTGGCTTCTAGAATCTCCCATTAAAATTTTTCCCAGGGGTGGCCGAACAGCCTGTATATAAAAAATACATAATATTTTTGATAATAATAATCTATTAAAACCTTGAAAGAAATTATTAAGAATGGGAAATGTAGGAAATGAAATGGAAAAATTCACAAAATAATATAGAGAATAGAATAGAATAGAATAAAATAGAATCTGACAGGCCTGGCCATTAAATGTTCACATACATATATGACTATCAAAAAGGGGAAAGAAGAAATGCATAAGTATGTTGAATGCATTAAAAAGATGCAAAGTAATTAAAAATAAATGTGTTGAAAGGTGTAACATTATTAACAAATCAAACTTCGTACTTTAAACTTAAACCACAAAACGAAAATCATGCAATTTGTAAAAAAAGATTATACACTTTGACTTCTAAATGATTTTAAAACCCCTAGTATATACAAACATTGAACATTTTTCTGTATTTCACTCACTTTCAGTGCTTCTTACTTTCACTTGTAGTGCGATCAAGACTAATACAAATAATAATTAGCAATTCTCAGAATAGTATCTTCCTCGATAACGTTCGCGTCCCATAATCAAGCCAACAAACATTAGAGAGGGATTACTATACCCAGGTAGTGCAATGTTTGACAGAAATCACAATTTATCAGACTGTGTAACAATCAATTTTGTTTCGTTTGTTGCAAATTATCAAGATATGGCAAGGTATTCTAATCGAGAGTATGCTGATATGTTACTAGGTTTGGGAGTTTGTAAAGGTAAAACTAAAAAATAATAATATGTTACAATTCGTTCAGTTATCTTCAATTGGCCATGTATAGTTGTGTATGCAGCATCGAGAAGAGTATTTTCAACAGTATTTGTGAAGTAATAAACTTTAAATTTGATATTCTCGAAAACAAAGCCCCAAATGAAAAAATTGAATTGTTCCTTATTTTTTACGTAGAATTACTTCCTAGCCCGTTGTACTACGGTTTACCATCCACCCTGTATACGTTCGATTTGCTTCATCACTTACGCGTTTGTTTATATTTTTTGCCAGTTCTCGTTGAATAGTGTACTATTTGGAGACGAGATGATGGCACACTATCTACAAATTAAACGATGCAAGAGTAAAACAGTAAAGTCTAAAACAGTAGAGGGGATTAGATGGAGAGTACGGATGATTCTCTTTGCTCCCTTGCATCATTTAGCTTGCGGATAGTGTGCCAACATCTCTTCTGCCAACAGTAGACCGTACCTCCTTCCCATCTCGCAGACGTTGATCCTTGGTGATCTGAACCATCACTCCTGCAGCCTGATCACCTCCCATTACAGACAGTCTGGAATTCGGCCAGGAATAAAGAAACCTCGGGGAATAAGCTCGGCCACACATGCCTGTATACAATGAGTCCCATACGTTACAATACACCCTGTATATACAAATTTATGATTTAGAAACAACTAGTGGAAAACAACAATACTGATGATTATTTTTCAGCTCGTCATAGAAGTCGCTGCATGTAGTGATAATGATATCGATGAATTCTAAAGTCCAATAAGTTCCTGTCGTTTAACACGTTAACTGCCAGACCAAACCTCTAAAATTGTCCACGAAATCGAAATTTTGTTTTTAGACAATTGAAAACTAGCATACTTATAGATTGTCATAGAATTTAATTTTACAGCCTCGTTAAAATTCAAACGTCTTATTTAGATTTATTTTCTTTAACATCTAATCTTGAGAATTAATTTTTGTAGCCCCCTAGGAAATAGTCATGTCACCCATAAATGGGTAACGTGGCAGTCAACGTGTTAAACACAAATTAATCAATTCGATATTCGCTTCGTATACCGTTTTTAGAGAAATTCGCGATTTGACATCGAAGGACTCGTCCTGCCAATTTTTTAATTTTTATTATTAATGAAGAACCATTAAATTATTCACCAATACACCGACTTTATGATGATTCTAACACGAAGCCAACATTCAACTTCTCATGGATTGAAATGTTTGAGAATAAAAATGACAAGATCTTATTGGATAATCCGACACAGTTCCTCATGAATACAGGGTGATCCGGACGGGGATGATTATACGTGAAAAAATGAACAAAGAATTTGATATAGAATTTTTTTATCCGGGGCTCCATTTTCGAGAAAATCGACTTTAAAGTTTGTTCTTCATTTTTGTGAACGATTCGAGTTGAGATAAATGAGAAAAACTGACTTATTACGCAGTCTGATTCTATCGTAAACCGAATATTTTTATCATTGTCAATGTTTGTAAACGCTATCTCAGACGGAACAACCACAGTCGAAGAATAGATGACGACAAAATTGTTGACAAAAGTGAACAAACTTCAAAGTTGATTTTCTCGAAAACGGAGCCCTGGATAAAAAAACATGTTATACCAAATTTCTTTCTTATTTTTGTACACAGAATGACTCCCTGCTTGGTTGTACTACGAATTCCGGCCCACCCTGAATAGCATTTAGAACGATGTTTATTTTCCTTTTCACTCTTTGGCCTATTCCTTATTTCTTCTTTTAAAATTTTACAACAGTGGACGTATTAATTTAAACATTCGTTTACGAATCGTACCGAAGTTCCCTGCTCCGTACGAGCCCCCAATCAACACTGTAATTTTAGGTACTTGGGCACAAGCTACAGCAGTCACCATTTTCGCACCATTTTTTGCGATCCCGCCGGCCTCTGCGTCGCTGCCCACCATAAAACCTGCAGTTTTACAACAAATAGAAGCAACAGACTATTTAGAAAAGATTCTTTAGATAAGAAAACGTTGGTCCTTTAATATTCAGGCATGTAAAAAATGTTTTATGAAAAGTATGTCTTTTGTCACGTTTAAGGTGAGACGCAGTTGTTGACGTTAATGGAAATTACATTGTAAATTAAGTATTAACACATAGTGTAAAAATGTATTATTTTTGTTCACTTAATGAACAACTAGAATTTTCTAGTAGACTTAACACTAAATCTACTGATACTTCGATACTTCGTATATTCGTTCCTACCATAATCAGTCAAATGACCAGTCTTTCGTTTTCTCTTTTATCAGGCACCGAACTCCTAACGTTTGAATAATATATTGTATAGAATGTTGTATTTTGAAGTTTATTCATAAGACATCTTTCTCTTTTACGTAGCATAGTTCTTCTCAAAGCATGCGTTTAAAAATCTGTACAAAAATATTCAATAATTTTAATCTAAATGTGCATACTTAGTACTTTAACTTCATATGAAGAATTTACAAACTACGTCGAAATTTTTCAATTTTCATCGGATAGAAGATAAAACGCCTTTAAAAACGAATTTTGTTTCAAGTCGATACCGTAGTTAGTTTCAGAGAAAATTATTATTTTCGAAAAAATGCTGGCTAGTAATTACGCAAACATCCTGTGTACAAATTTAAATTCATTTTCAATTAAATAAACAATTTATAACTCAATTTCAAAATAAACATAGAAGACAGCATAAATGATAATAGTTGATACATTCATCGCCTAGAGAATGAAGAACCCTTTAAAATGAAACTGTTTCAAGTCAATAGCCCAATTAATTTTGAAGATATAACGATTTTCGTTTCATGTCGATCGCGTGGGTAGTTCCGGAGATATAAGGGTTCGAAGCGTTTGTTCACTTTTCATTGTTGACATTGGCGCGAGGTCAATGATCGCACGTGCTCGTAGTAAATAGTAAATAGTAAACATTACGTCACTCGGTCACTCGGTCACGACCCACGTACGAGGGAAAGAGAAAGAGAGAGAGAGAGAGAGAAAATCCGACAAGTGAGACGGAGACAGAGATAGTGGAATTTAAAAAGTTACCCCTTTAATTAAATTATGATATCTCCAAAACGGAAAGTCGGATCGACATAAACCAAAAACCATTTTAAAGGGGAGGCCTTGCAACTTCTAACAGTTGCTCAATTATGGAGAAAACACTAGTGTGGCGTGCATGTGGCCGCACGATGGCGTTGTACGGCGGAGGCCGTGGCGTTCGTAGGGGAACCCCGGAGAGTGACGCTGGCCGCGTGGTCGCGGGACGTTTTTCCGAGCGTGCGAGATAAATGAGGTGTATCACGTGTATTGAATGGTTTATTGATATAATAAAGTATATATGACGTTACTAACGGACCACAAATGGTAGCAGAGCGTGGTTGGTGGTTCGTGGTTCGTGGTTCTTCTTCAGAAAGGAGAGAATAGTGTTGAAGAGAAATAGAGGTTAGGAAGAACACGTGGCGGGTATTGACGTCGTTGCAAAAGGATAGAATAGATAAAGGAAGAATAGTCAAAGCGGTAAAATGGATAATACCATGATGACAACGGGTAAAATAGAGCAACTGACGAATAGAAATTACCATGTATGGGCGTTAAAAGTAGGTGCAGCTTTGAGAAGCCGAAAATTATTCAGGGATGTCGTAGAAAAGGATGAACCGCCCATTGCTAATGACGCAGGGACACCGGAAGGTAAAAACCGTCTGTTGTGGGAAGCGAAGAACGATGAAGCATTTGGTATTATTATATTAACATTATCTGACGAGCATGCTGGGTTGTTCCTGGGCGAAACCAACGCAAAAAAGGTATGGAATGAACTAAGGAATATGTTTATGGGTCAGGCCGAAGACCAGGTAATAGATATAGGTTTAGAACTGCGAAATATTAGAATGGGAAGCCATGAGGCAGTAATAGATTATATAAATAGAGCCAAAAATATCGCAGCAAGAAGTGCAACATTAGGTAGAGTAATAGCAACCCGAGAAATAGTATATCATGTAGTCAGGGGTGTGCATGTAAAGTTTGAAAAGACATCTGTAGTGTTAAGAGCGCAGAGAGATATCACCCTAGAAGAGGTACAACGAATTCTGTGTGAAGAAGAAAGTCGGTTAAAGTCAAATAATAGTCATTATCATTCTGAAGTAAATTTAACGAATGAGAAAGCATATAGAGCCTCACGGGATAAACCAAAACGTACCAGTGGATGTTACATCTGTGGTAGACAAAATCACTTAGCGAAAGAATGTTTTCACAGGAATGATAATAACCGAAGAGATTATAGGGGCGCCAGAGGAAGACCAAACACAGGAAATAGGCGAGGATTTGGATTTGGGTACAGAAGAGAGCAGTCGAATATGGCCTCTGAAAATCATGAAGAATACGCTTTTAGAGCATCGAGACAAGCAATAAGTTATGGGGAAAATGATGGTGATTGCTTATGTGGTAAACAGACATGGATAGTAGATTCTGGAACCTCGTCACATATGTCACCGGATGCAGCACACATGACGAATGTGGAGCCTTATTCAACCAAGGTAAATTTGGCGGAGAATGGAAAATGCATGGTATCCAAAAGCAGAGGGGATGTACACGGAAGTACAACAGTAAGAAGTGAACAGAAGAATATACGCATTAATAACGTTTTGCATATTCCAGATTTGCGTACCAATTTGCTGTCTGTGAGTCAGCTGGTGAATAATGGCAATAAGGTTGTGTTTTCAGATGGATCAGTAACCATAATAGGACCAGAGAAAGAGATACTGGGAATAGGCAAAGAACAGAATGGAATTTACATGCTGGATACGTATGTTAAAAACCATAATAAATCATATTTGGTATCTCAGGAGGGTACAAACGAAAATGGAGATACGTCTGACAGCCCAGGTACAAGAGAGGTTGGTGGTGCGAAAATAGATGTAATGTTGTGGCATCGAAGACTTGGTCACATATGTGAAGAATACTTAACAAACATGAGAAGAAAGGAAATGGTGAGAGGCCTTAGTTACCCTGTACAAAGTTTGGGCGCTTGTGAAATATGTATAATGGGGAAGGGATCTCGGGCACCGCACACAAGGCTGAACGCGAAGTCTGCGAGAGGTCCACTCGACTTGATTCATATAGATTTATGTGGACCGGTGCAGATAAAATCTCTTAGTGGGAGTCGTTACATGTTTGTACTCATAGATGATTATAGTAGATATATATGTGTATATTTTTTAAAGACCAAAGATGAAACATTTAACAGGTTTAAGGAATATATGAATAGATATGAAAATGCGTTTAACAGGAAGATATTAGCTATAAGGTCAGACAATGGTAGAGAGTTCGTTAATAGCGACTTTCAGACATTGTTTGGTGAGAAAGGAATACGACATGAGAGAACCGTGCCATACAACCCAGAGAGCAATGGAATCGCAGAAAGAGCTAACAGAACCCTAATTGACAAAGCAAGGACGATGCTTATCGATAGCGGCTTGCCGAGAAGATTTTGGGCAGAAGCCGTCGCGACAGCGGCGTATGTAAGAAATAGATGCCCGGTGAAAGGAGCGATGGTAACGCCGATAGAGATGTGGGAAGGGAAAAAGCCAACCGTATCACACGTCAAGGTATTTGGTTGTACGGCGTATTATTACATACCTAAGAATTGTAGAAGTAAATTTGAACCTATATCCGCAAAAGGGATATTTATCGGGTATTCTAATGATAGTAGAGCATATAGGGTATATAATATAGAAACTGGAAAAATTCATGCAGCACGATCAGTCAAATTTAATGAGAAGGTTATGGGCTCCAGTCTAGTGAAAACAGATGTGCAACAGGAAGATCTCAATGACGTTATATACATAGGTGAGGAAAATAAGACTGTAGAGGAGGACTATACAGTTATGGATAACGAGGATCAGGACGAAGAACAAGTCAGTAGAAGAGACCAGAAAGAACAGATTAGTAGAAATGACCAGGATGAACAGATGAACGATAGGATAGAGGATGTAGAGACTGAATCAGAGATAGAAGAAAATCGAGTAAGTAGAAAGTGTGGACGTAAACGGGGAAAGTCAAATCAAGACATACGAGAAGAACATGAGAAACGAATGGTGGAGATAGAGAGACGTCTGAGAGAAGACGGGGTAAGACGATCTACAAGATTGAAGGAAAAAGTTGAGCAAACAAATTTCATTAGCATACAAGACATGGGATTACCGAACAACCATGCAGAAGCAATAAAGTCAAAAGACTCAGAGAACTGGGAAAAAGCGATGACACAAGAGATTACCACAATGGAACGACATGGTGTATGGAAATTAATTCAGCGGCAAGAAGGGATAAAAACGATAAAGAGTCGCTGGGTTTACAGTAAGAAACAAACACCAGGAGGTGATATAAAATACAAAGCGAGATTGGTTGCTGTAGGGTGTAATCAAAAATTGGGGATAAACTATGAGGAGTCGTTCGCACCAGTTATACGGCTGGAAACTGCAAGAATTATGTTATCGTTAGCGGCAACTTACAAAATGAAGATTAAGCAGTTTGACGTGAAATCAGCTTATCTCTACGGAGATCTAAAGGAGAAAGTATATATGGAACAGCCACCAGGGTTTGCAAGAGACGATAATAAGGTTTGCGAATTACGAAAAAGCATATATGGATTACCTCAATCAGGTCACTATTGGAACGAGAAATTGCATAACACGTTAATATCATTAGGATTAACACGAATAGAAGGTGAACCGTGTGCTTATGTTTTGAAAAAGGGAAAACAACAGCTGATGGTGGGGATTTATGTAGACGACTTTATCGTAATAGGATCTGACGATGTAATAATTGAAGAGACAGTATCAAGGGTTAGACAACACTTCGAATTAATTGAAATAAAGGATCAAAATTTCCTGAATATAAGAATTACGGAGAACGAGAGTGGAATACAGTTGTCTCAGGCAGCATACATTGCGAAGATTTTAAAAAAACATAACTTAGAAGACTACAATCCGGTAAAAACTCCAATATGTCCAACACAGGATCTGGATGTATATGAAGACTCACCTAAAGTAGATAAAACCGAGTATCAGGAGTTACTAGGATCACTTATGTATGTAGCCGTGGGAACAAGACCTGATATTTCTTATGCGATAAGTAGACTATCGCGATATAATCAAGAACCAAGAGTAATGCACTTAACAGCAGTAAAAAGAGTATATAGATATCTCAAGGGAACAATGGATTATAAATTGCAATATGATAGAAAGGAGTCCCAGTTAACGATGAGTACCGATGCAAGCTGGAGCGTCACAAAAGATGCCAAGTCATATGGAGCTTATGTAGCCAAAATAGGTAATAATCTGATAACTTGGAAATGTCAGAAGCAACGACTGGTAGCACTATCTACCTGTGAGGCGGAGTTGTTGGCTATTTGTGAAGGCATACGGGACATAAAATGGATCAAGACAGTCTTGGAAGGTTTAGGAATGGAGCATTTATGTAAAAACCCAGTAGAGGTGAAGACAGACAGCAAGGCAGCAATTGACTGGATAAACAAGGATAAAGTCACTAACAGGACGAAACACATTAACAGGAAGTACTATTTCGTGAAAGATGAAGTAAAGGGGAAAAGAGTCGAGCTGAAACATGTAAAATCAGAGGAAAACGAAGCCGATATATTGACAAAAGGACTGACTGAAGAAAAGGTAATTAAAGGTACTAAGATGTTACAGGTAACCAGTGAGATCGTGCGTTCAAGAGGGGGAATTGTGGCGTGCATGTGGCCGCACGATGGCGTTGTACGGCGGAGGCCGTGGCGTTCGTAGGGGAACCCCGGAGAGTGACGCTGGCCGCGTGGTCGCGGGACGTTTTTCCGAGCGTGCGAGATAAATGAGGTGTATCACGTGTATTGAATGGTTTATTGATATAATAAAGTATATATGACGTTACTAACGGACCACAACTAGTAACTTCGGAACTTTACGCGTCTAAAGCTTTAGTACTTTTAATACGCGTTAATACACTTTTGTTAGACAGAGAGTGGAATTTGAAAAATTACCCTTTTATTTAAATTACGATATCTCCAAAACGGAAAGTCGGATCAACATAAATCAAAAACCACTTTAAAGGGCAAGTCTTGCCGCTTCTAACAGTGGCTTAATTATGGAAAAACACTAGTAGTTTCGGCATTGTACGCATGTAAAGTTTGACTATTTTTAATACACCGTTGTTAGACTATTCTAAACCAGTGGATACTGAAGAGTATTTCATTCATCTTTACTATGTATTTAATATTTACATCGGAAGCTAACCTTTGATACCAAATTTTGCCCGGCTTTTACAAAACAATACAAGTCGTTGAACCGGTCAAATAACCAGTCATGGTAGGTAAGACAGACTACATATTTTTCTCAGAAAACAAACAATAAGAATAGAAGTGAATATTGAAAAATTCATTGTACGTATGCTACAGTTAAGAGCAAAACTGAACACACATACGAAATTTTTGCGTAAATAATATTTTATTCATTGTTTGTATGTAGAATACAAAAGAAACGAAATATACAGTATTAAGTACAATGTTTTAACTTTCCAACAAATTTTCAACAATCGTAATATCCTTATTATTTTGACACCTACAAATTTTGTTCGTATAGTGGGTTTTGCACCGCGTTAGAACTGTTATTGCTACGAATTGTAAACACAGTTTTTATAAACAACGCCCGGTAGTATCTATCACCGGAAGTACTCTAGTAGTTAGTTCATTGCTGTTTGTGGAGTGATACGTATTAACATTGTGCCATGAAATCATGGCCATATCTAAAATTGTGAAGAATAATATTATTTTCCAGTTAAAATCTGGCTTATCGATACGAAACATTGCTAGAAGGTTTGCTATTAGTCAGGCAGTAGTGCATAAAATACGGAAACGATATTGCAATGACGTTCCTACATCTTTTGGAGGTCGTCCAAAATTATTATCTTGTCAGGACAAGCGACGATTAACAAAGTATATTACATCAGAAGTCGCAATGACGGCATCAATGGCTGCAAAGCTGTTGGAAAGCGATGTTGGAAAGAAAATAAGCAAATGGACTGCTCGAAGAGCACTAAAAGAAGCTAATTTTATATCAATAGAAAGAAAAAAGAAACCTGCTCTTTCAAAGAAGAATATAAAAGTCCGTTTGAGCTTTGCAAAAATATATATGTATAAGGTGGAACATTGAACAATGGAAGAACGTAATCTTTTCAGATGAGTGTAAAATTAATCGAATTTTGTTGGATGGTCGTTCCTGGTGTTGGAAAAGAAAAGATGAATCACTTAAACCACGTTAAGTTAAACAGACAGTTAAATTTGGCGGTGGTTCAGTTATGGTATGGAGTTGCATTACGGCGTATGGTGTAGGTCCACTGGATCGAATTGATAGTATGGCGAATCAGTACACTTACAAGAACATTTTAGAAAAGAATCTACTACACACAGTTGACAATTAGCCAGTACCAGAATGTGATGTCGTTTTCCAACATGGCAATGCCACCGTACATTCTGCGAGAAGTGTGAAAAATTGGTTCGATGTTCAATCATTTCAAACGATAGCATGACCTGCTCAAAGACCAGACTTAAATCCTAATGAGAATGTCTGGGCATATTTAAAAATGAAACTAGCGAGTGATTATAATGTACTGCTAGCGACAATAAACGATTTGTGGGAAAGAGTGCAGGAACTATGGTACTTAATTACTCCACAATACTGCGAAAATATAGTTCTAAGTATGTCAAAATGCATTCAACACACCATTAAGGCCAAAGGTTTATGGACGAAATATTAAATCTAGATAAAACTGAAATGTTTATTTACAAATGCTTTATGGTGCAAAACCGACTACTAAAATAATAAAGATATTAAGATCGTTGAAAATTTTTTGGACAGTTAAAACATTGAACTTAATACTGTATAATTGTATAATTTTTTTTAAATATTATTTACGCAAAAATTCCGTATGTGTGTTCAGTTTTGCTCTTAACTGTACAAGAAAAGTCGTGAAGTTAAATGGCGCTAAAATATCATTGTATGTTAGAAAATCTAAACGAAATTTTAAAAACAGTCATTTGACCGATCGTGGTAGGTTTAGTGTTAATAATACGATGTTGTCCTTCTACAGAATGTCATATTCGATGACCCCTCTTTTTAACGAAATTTCCAGCAGGCAACTATAATCCCATAGTAAGTTGTTAAACTGGACGCACCTGTAATGTTCTGCAAAAAGATCAGAGGTATCTTCCTCTGCGTGCAGATCTGCACAAAATGAGTGCCCTTTAACGCGCCCTCCGAGAATAACACGCCATTGTTCGCTAGAATTCCCACCGGATAGCCGTAGATCTTCGCGAATCCTGTAACCAATGTTTCGCCATATTGCTCCTTGAACTCGCGGAATCTAGATCCATCCACGATCCTGGCGATCACTTCCCTGACGTCGTACCGTCTCTTCAAGTTCGTACCAACGATACCGTAAATTTCGTCAACAGGGTGTACAGGTAATTCCACGTTCTTGTCCACGTTTACGTGCATCACTCTTTGTCTGTTCAAGTCATTGACGATCTGCCGGGTCAGGTACAGAGCGTGATGGTCATCTATGGCGTAATGGTCGGTAACTCCAGATACCCTGTCATCGAGTAATTATAATTCATACGTATAACTTATAAAATTCAAAGGTGTGTATCCACTAATTGCTTATCATTGCATGCGTGTCCCTATCAAACGACCAATCGCGAGAAATAGGGTTAGTTTCTCCTTGACTCTACAATAAGTTCACCTCTTCAGTTAGCAACGACCTCGTACAGTTATATGTATAACCTAGCAGTTGACATTTAATCTCGTAAATGGAGCGTTAATATTAATTGTTTTTTGCCGAACTAATTGAAATTCATTCAAGAAATACAAGAATTCGCGTGCGGACCGTCGGAGAGTACAGACGTGTATACGTTGCGATCCTTGAGTGTAAATATACATAAGCGAACGGTTAAGATATTGCAAAATGCAGCAAGGAAGTGGAGGGGCATTTCCCTCACCGATATTCACTTGCGCAAGTGATACAGTAACCACAACTTCGTACTCTACATATCCATATTACGGACAATCCATATTTGGAAGAGCACCTATTATGGCTACAGAAATCACAACAAATAAGCAGACCCACACACACACAGCCAACGCCGGCACCTCGGAACAACACAACGTACAGAAACGGCGAGTAATACACATAGATACCCCACTACAGGAACAGGAGGAATTTAGACAACACATCGATACGAATATATCAGATCAAGAACTCACGTGGCAACAAGTAAAACCCTGGAGGAATAAAAGAAATGGAGATACAGTTCAATCAGATAACTACACAAGAAAGAAACAAGCCTTGCAGGATATCAGCAAACAAAACTTCAATAGATTTTCAGAGCTGAATAATAATGAACCAATGCAAGAAGATGAAATTACCGAGAATGTCAATGAAAACACTAATAAAATACAAAAACCTCCTCCAATATTTATGAACGATATAGCAAACTTCCCACTAATGTTAGAAAGCTTTAAAACTGTCCTAACAAGTGAAGATTTTTCCTGCAAATCAATGTCTGCGGACTCGGTTAAAGTAAACACCAACACACCAGACGCCTACCGAAAACTAGTCCATTTCCTAAAAAGTAATAACATAGCATTTCACACGTATCAACCGCGTCAGGAAAGATCTTTCAGAGTTGTTATCAAAAATCTACATAGCTCAATTCCAACAACGGATATTAAAGATGAACTAGAACAAAAAGGTTTTGAAATCAGAAGTGTCACTAATATACGTAGCTGGAAAACGAAAGAATCACTCCCTTTATTCTTTGTGGACCAAGTACCAGGTGAGAAAAATAAAGAAATCTATAAATTAAAACACCTTCTTAACACTATCAGTTCACTCAATAAGTCCCCGGTCTGGCGCATATATGGCAACATTGTTGACAAACCTACGTGATGTCCGGGTAGTATGAACCTTCAAACAGTACGTGTCCAAATTTCGTGGCATTCTGACCGTTAGTTTAGAGGTTGCAGTCGTTTTAGTGATCCCAGTTTTGTCATTTTCAAGACAATGGATAGAAAGGAATTTCGTGTGTTGATTAAACACTGTTTTTTGATGGGGAAAAATACTGTTGGAGACAAACAGTGGCTTGATAAGCATTATGGGGACTCTGCACCAGGGAAATCAACTATTATTGACTGGTATGCTGATTTTAAACGCGGTCGTACAAGCACCGATGATGCTGAACGGTCTGGTCGCCCAAAATCGGCAGTTGTTCCGGAAAATATAAAAAATGTCCACAAAATAGTTTTAAAAGACCGTAAAATGAAGTTGCGGGAGATAGCTGACACCTTGAAGATATCAGAAGGTAGTGTCTTTACAATTTTACATGAAAATTTGGGCATGCGCAAGCTGCTTTCGAGGTGGGTGCCGCGTTTGCTCACACCGGACCAGAAACAACAACGCGTCAACGATTCCGAGCGCTGTTTGGAGCTGTTCAAACGAAATAAAAAGGATTTCTTGCGTCGGTATGTGACAATGGATGAAACATGGATCCACCATTACACGCCTGAATCAAAAAGATCGTTAGCTGAGTGGACAGCAGCCGGTGAAAGTCGTCCAAAGCGACCAAAAACTCAAAAGTCGGCTGGCAAGATTATGGCATCCGTATTTTGGGACGCGCATGGAATTTTATTCATCGACTATCTTCAGAAAGGCAAAACTATCAACAGTGAATATTACATGGCATTATTGGATCGATTGAGTGCAGAAATTAAGAAAAAACGGCCCCACATGCAAAAGAAAAAAGTGCTGTTTCACCAGGACAATGCCCCGTGTCACAAGTCGATGAAAACAATGGTTAAATTGAATAAATTACGCTTTGAATTGCTTCCCCACCCACCTTATTCTCCTGATTTGGCCCCCAGCGACTACTGGCTTTTTGCAGAGATGAAAAAGATGCTCCAGGGAAAGAAATTTCGCTCAAATGAAGATGTGATTGCCGAAACTGAGGCTTATTTTGAGAGCAAAGACAAATCGTTTTACACAAAGGGCATCGAAAAGTTAGAGGAGCGTTGGAATGAATGTATCACTCTTGAAGGAGAGTATGTTGATGAATAAAGTGGAATTCCTAAAAAAAAATTTGTTTTTCTTAGTTAGACCGGAGACTTATTGAGTGATGTGTTATAATAGAAGTCGTACCACCGCGTAAAAAGAACGTGATACCTCAGTGTCATCGCTGTCAAAAATATGGGCATACCAAGGGTTATTGCACCAAGCCATTTAACTGCGTGAAATGTGCTGAAAATCATCCTACAAATACTTGCACCAAGGAGAAAAACACTCCTGCAAAATGTGTATTGTGCGACGGCCCGCATCCTGCAAATTACAAAGGATGCAGTGTATATCGAGAATTACAGGAAATAAGAGGTAAGCCAGATAAAAATACAATTGTAAAAAGAAATTATAGTATACGTGAAAACATAAGTTACGCTCAAGCCACAGAAGGTAATACTATCCAACATGACCATAATGATGCTACTAACACAATGTCAAATCAACTCCTTCAGAAATTCGAGTCTCTTTTCAAACAATTAATGGACCAAAACAGCATGATTATAAATCTGCTTACCGCCTTCATCAACAGAAAATAACAATGCCTGATAATATAAGAATAGCCTTATGGAATGCAAACGGTTTGCAGCAACGCAAACAGGAAATAGAATTATTTCTAAATCAAAATAAAATAGATATTCTCCTAATTTCTGAAACTCATTTTACTGACAGAAGCTATTTTAATATTTACAAGTACAAAACATATAGCACCAATCATCCAGACGGAACAGCTCACGGAGGAACTGCTATTATTATAAACGAAAAGATATCGCACTCTGAATCATCAAAATTCGAAGAAGCTTGTCTACAGTCAACTAGTGTCGAAATCAAAGATGCATACAGTACAATCGTCATTGCGGCAGTCTACTGTCCACCCAGACATGCAATAAGCAAAGAAAAATTTGATCAATTCTTTAACACGCTAGGTGTGAGATTTATCTCAGGTGGAGACTACAATGCAAAACACCCCCAATGGGGTTCAAGACTCAGCAACCCAAAAGGTAAAGCACTCCAGAAAACAATGACATCAAAATGGTATAATCACATCAGCACCGGTGAACCGACTTACTGGCCAACCGACCCCAGGAAAACACCAGACTTACTTGACTTCTTTATAGCCAAAGGTATCTCGCTAAGCCAGGTTGAGGTAAATACAAGCTTGGACTTGTCATCTGATCTTTCGCCAATTATACTCACATTGAGCTCTACACTGGTAGACAACGAAAAACGGCCGTATTGGACAAACTCGAAAACAGACTGGTCTCTTTACAGAACACTTATAAATAATAATATAGATCTAAATATCCCATTAAAAACTGCAAACAACTTAGATCAGGCGGTAGAACTCCTAACTAAGACGCTGCAAGATGCAGCATATAAATCGACGCCTGAAACCAAAGCTGAAAATAAACACGCAATGAACCATCCGTTATCCGTGAGAATTAAAATTGCAGAAAAGAGGAAAGCTAGGAAAAAATGGCAGTTATCTAGACACCCTGATGATAAGAGAACGCTAAATAAGTTAACCAGGGAACTCACAAAGCTGCTGCACCAAATTACAAATGAGCGCATCCAAGATTACCTTCAAAGCTTGTCTCCACGTCAGGAAGATAATTACTCCTTGTGGAAAATCACAAAAAAATTGAAAAGGCCAACTGAACACATCTCTCATATAAAAATGGGAAACAACCGATGGGCCAGGAACGATCAAGAAAAAGCCGATACTTTTGCAAATCATTTATCTACAATCTTCACACCGAATGACATACCAACGCTCGACAGCGACTACAGAGACATCACGAACTTCCTTAATGCTCCCTCGCAACCTTGCGAACCCATCATACATTTCTCTCCCGGAGAAATAGCACAAAAAATAAAGAAACTTAATGACCGAAAAGCACCTGGATATGATCTCATTACCGCTAAAATGTTAAAAGAATTACCAAAAAAGAAAGGTGTAGTAGCTATCACGCAAATATATAATGCGATACTGAGAGTTCAGTATTTTCCCATCCAATGGAAATTTGCGACAATCATTCTGATTCAAAAGCCTGGCAAACCACCCACAGAAGTGACCTCTTACAGGCCTATCTCACTGTTACCAATCTTGTCAAAATTATTTGAAAGATTACTGCTAAATAGGCTAACACCAATATTAACGGAGAAATGCATAATCCCACAACATCAATTCGGTTTTCGGAAGCAACACTCTACTATCGAACAAGTACATCGTATAGTCAATGTGATAGAAGAATGTTTCGAGAAACGCATGGTATGCTCCGCTGCGTTTATTGACATTAACCAAGCTTTTGATAGAGTGTGGCACATGGGCTTGTTATATAAAATTAGGCAAAACCTTCCATATAACTATTGTGTTCTGCTAAAATCATACTTAAATGACAGGTTCTTCCAGGTCAATCAAAACGACAAATACTCGAAAATCTACCCTATACTCGCGGGTGTTCCTCAAGGTAGCGTCCTAGGTC